GCGTTTGGTCCCGTTCTACCTCTACAAACTGATCCTCCCTAGTTATGACATGAACCAAAACAGGACCACTTGAGTCCAAGGATGACACTTCTTTTAGGACACATATAAGGTCCTCAATGTTGTGTCCATCTACTGGGCCAATGTAGTACAGCCCAAGCTCTTCAAAGAGAGTTGATCCTGGAGGACCCAACAAACCACGGGCATACTCATCAACCTTGGCTGCCCACTCATGCATACCCCTGCCAATTCGCTTAGTTAAAACCTGAAACAAGCATTAACTACTTAGACAGCGAAAGAATAGTATCTAAACAAGATGCAAACTGATACAGGTCAGCATGCTCACATTCAGTTATTCAAGTATAAAGAAAATATCCATAACTTGTTTTCAATTTTGTCGGGCTGACATCTTGGAACACATAATACCTAAGTCACAGTAAATTGAGAATAAAAAACACTAACAGGTAAACATCTCCAAAAAGCAGTTAGAAAGGTGTATATTCTGTGCTTATCTGTGATTTAATGATACTTGGAATTCTCAGGACTGGGAACACACCTGTTAAATCCTATCTTGTTGTGTGAAGAGAATACGACTAAAGCAAAAACTGATAATTAAGGACAATCTCAGCCATATGGCTTATATGGATCTCATAACTGGGTCTTCCCAGGAGTAAATGATTCCTAAGCAGATTCACTTACAACGTATAAGGTAGAGGATTTTTCCAGTAAAAATAACCATGCAAGGATTAGGCTTACTGTGCTGCTAAAGTACACTGGTTTTGCATTTTGTTGAATGATGAATTTTTGTAACTGTCAAAATGAGTCACTCTTCAAATTGACAAGTTGCCAAGAATATGATACTGGTGGAGAATGTAAGTCGAAAATTTGCCAAGAGTAGAACGCAGCTTCAACCAAGAGGTTGAAGTGGTACACAGACAAATTACCTTTGCAAGTTCTCTAAACCTCCTGAAGAATATACTTGACTGAATCTTGCTTAGAGTAGTTGATAAAGGATTAATTGGTGTTTCAGGGGCCTCCTCAAGCTTTGGATGCAAGGAGTTACGGCTATCATTTAAGATCACAATCATATTGGAATCCAAATAACCTGCATTACCCATTGCCTCGTAAACCTGGCCAGCCATAGTGGTTTCATTGCTTATGACTGCAACCACACGTTCACGCTGCCCTTTGATGTCCCGAGCTACTGCCATTCCTGCATCAAAACATAGCATAGCTTACTACTAAATCCTACAGACTAATAGCAAATTGTCATAAAGCTATTATGGCCACTTCTGAAACAATTCTATTCCACAAGCAGTTCAGTTAGGTATCAGCAAGCAAAACTTGAAATACAGCCCCAAACTATAGATAGCAAAGGTCGTTCTTTGCTAAATACATTGGAAAAGATGAAGAAAAGCACTACCAAGGCCAGCAGATATACTGTTGCATCCATGTCCTGCCCCAATTGGGTCATATATGCTCACAGAACGACGTGTGGAGTCTGATAGCTCAGTTGTTTGTCTATGCATTTTGACAAGGGACCTCCTACCAGTAATAAGCTTATGAGGATATGTCTGTTTCAAATTAAAAAAGCAAAAATTGATCACTCAACAAGAGATTTTCTTAAAACTTTAGCAGAGAAAGATATATAGGCTTCACAAGTTTCTTTCTGCCTCTCCTACCATAGTGCCATAGAGATTCATATGGACATAAAGATGAAAACTATCACTCTTCTTTTTTCTCATAGCTAACAAACTTGGACCCACAATTCAACAACCGTTGAAAACCATTGTGACCCTAAAAAGCATCAAATAAGGGAAATGCTAAAACAAAGAGAACCGTTGAACTTTTTGTCCAATGATCTGCAGTTTCAGAATGAAGCTCACATGTTCCTCCACATCCCACAATATTTTGTCCACCGGTGAGCGGAAAACATAGTGAATAGCCACTGTCAGCTCCACAACTGCCAGACTGGCTTTAAAGGCCTTTTTACTTTTTGACATAACAGTAGATAATTCTGATCGCATTTCAACAGCTAATTGTTTCAGTTCCTGCATAGAATATTGCTACTAAGCCAAGTTTTCAGAATATCAAGATAGCTTGAGAATCAGCATTGCAGAAGAATACCTTTGACGACAAATTCTTTAAGTGTTTAGGACTCTCAATTGTATCCAGTATAGGTGTTGCCACCTCCCCACTCTCATCAACAGCATTTGCTTGACCACGCCATTCCTGCAGCAAGAAACATCAACAATGCTGTACGGTCCAAAAGGATGATCCAAGCCAAAATTGGGCCTCACCCCAATGTGGGCAATAATCAAAGAAAAACACAACTAAGTTCCCACCAAGAGAGACATTAGAACTCAACAAAGCCTAACAGCACACAATTTGACTCACCTAAATCCACTGTCTTCTTATGCCATGCATATACAATAGTTTACTTCTATGTTCAGCATATCAAAAGGGTTCATGTTCTTGCCAAGATAAGACAATTGGAAGCAAGGGTACCTAATACAATCCTGCTCTTTTATCCACCTTTTGACTGTTTCTCGTGAAAAGAAATTCACATACAGATCAATGCCCGAGTATAGACTATAACCAACTTTTTATGCTTTATGTACCATAAAAAGACTATAGTTGATATTCTTCACAAAAGGTCCAACTAATATAACTGAGTCTTTTTACTTTCAGCAAGAATAAATGGATGCAATAGCAAGTTCCTAGGCTTTCAGATTTTTCTACATGTTTTGCTCCTCAATTCGCTATACAACGAAAATCATATAGTTGCTCAAAGCTTTCAACCTATGAGACTTCAACATACCACCAGAAAGCGTGAAACCCAAGTTTATTCAACATATTTCCTTATTTGATGAGCACTAGTAACTTCCTAACTAATCAAGAGCTTTTCTTTGTTGCTACAATTGATTAATACATGACTTTCGTCTAATTTTCCACTATAGTTTCTAAAAGGAATAGGCAGATACTAATTCTTGGGATTTCATTGCTGCAACATTTTGATTCTCATTGCTTCATATATCCCGTCAATGCAGGCTCTCCCGTGCAGAACACATCCAAGCAAAAAGGGGGTAGTGCAGCTGTGCAGGTAGGAAACAAATAAATAACTAACAAAAAAATATTACACTGAACAAATATATCTTCAATATACTTCTTCCGCAGATAGCACTCTATGGAGCTTGAAGCACAGAATTTTGATACATTTCAGCATAAAATATTGAAATAAGGCATAAATCTTTCTGTATATAAAGCATGAGCATTGCCTTTGGTGTTAAAATTTTTGTTATTCCAGTTTTACAACACATGTAAAGATTTATACATATAACCACCACAAACAAACTAGAACAACTTCCAATATTTTTTTGGCAAATCAAACTTCTAATACCTTTTACCTTTGATGCCCCCACCACCAAAAAAAAAAAAATCCTACCCTTTTATTCAGAAAAAAAGAAAAACTTTGTTTCTAATCTACACACCCTACCTCTCCCACTAGTTTAAAACAAAGTAACAGTAATATTAAGCATTCAGCTAGAAATTCAACAATCCACAGAATTATGGTGCATTCATTTTGTTTCTTACCACACAAAAGGACTGCACTACAAAAAGGTAAAGTGCAACTTAAATGATGAACTAAATATGAAAGAAGTAGCTAGGAGGATTATTTTTTTAAAAGAACAAAATGAATTGGGAAACTGTAAGTTGTACCTTGGAAGAAGAGCAGACTGCTGAACTTGGAGACAAATATAATCCACAGTACTCCACACGGGAGGGAAATTTTACACTTGAGAAATCCAATTTTGGTGACAAATTTTTTGAAATTTCACTGACACGAGCACTGATACCAAAATGGTGGTCAAAACTAGCAGTGCCCATGATGGAAACCAGAGAGTTTCTTCAGCAAAAATGATCAAGTGCAAGAAAATGAAACCATTAAAATATCCAGGCTGCCAAAAAAAAAGTCCCTGAAAAATTCTTCAGTTGAGAGTTCAACAGCTAAAAATTACACGCAGAAGAGAGACTCCTGGACGCATTTCTCGGTTCTCAATCACTAACAAAGGGATAAGACGACCAGCGTATTTCTTGAAAATTTGTCGGTAGCGAAGAGGAATATGGGCCGACACTAAACCGATTTTGATAGCTGAACTGCAACGGCTCAATGTGTGAGCTGAACCGTGAATTGAATGCCCCATAATAAGGAGCCCAACCGTACAGAGATTGTGGGAATGGGCACTTCTTAGCTGACAAGAGTTCCTTTTCCAAAAGCCCAAATGGTAGAAGTTGGCTAATTTCTCATTAATTGAGGTAATTATTTACTTTGACTACTAAAATTAATTGTTTGAATCTTGTGTTGGTAATTTAATTTTTTTTAATATAAGTAAGAGGGTTCGAACCCGAGACCTCTCATTTACATTCTCTTTTCCCGTACTATCCAATTCATCCCTCTCCCAGGTAATTTGATTATTTAATCCAACATGATTTGCAATATATGCAGTATATTAAACTCAAATTGATTTAATCATTTGATTATTTCTTTAAAATGATACTTCTTAAGGCTTTAAGACCTTTTGCTAATGTTACCAAATTAAATTTCATTTTTTTTTTGTAAGAAAGATAGATGCAATTATTAAAGATAAGGAAAAAAAAAACACACACACACACAATGCATAGTGGCAAAAACCAAATACAACGAGGAAAGTGAAAAATCTTTTGTTTCTCATTGCCAAAAAAAAAAGTTGTAAAATAATTAATTTTGCATTTCCCTTTTCCACCTCAATACGGTGGAAATGTTCTACTTTTCTGTTGCATGACAAATGCCTGACGCCAAGAGAAAAAAAGGTGACAATACATATCTTCAAAGCAAGTAATACATTTAAAGTGGTTACTTCCAAAACTCAATGCCGTGTTCATCTACCCCATCACAATTCTTGTCGGTTACTTTTGCTTGAAAGCTATGCAATTAATCTTCTATAACAAACATATCAAGGCCTTAATTACTTACCATTTTTGTGATTTTACACACACACACACACATATATATATATATAGAGAGAGAGAGAGAGAGAGAGGGGTTGGTGAAGGCATATATATAATCTTATATCATATGTAACTCAAGTCATCAGTGGATAGCATCAAGATTTGAGAGACAATTACAAAGTAATTTTTCCCTTTTTTTTTTTCTTTGCCCTCTTTTCTTTTCCTTACTGCTAAGAAAGAGTTGGATGAAGAAAGTAATTTCAAACCATTTGCAGGTCTAAGTCCTCTCTAAGTCCCAAGACTACAAAGGTTTCTCTAGGTATGCCTTCTCCTCTCTTTTTTTTATGATATTCTTGTACACATGCTATGATGTATACATGTCTAATTAGGCCAATAATGGACTCTATTCTTGATTCTCCTCTAATTTTAAGGCTCCCATCTTCAAGAATTTGGAAGATGAATGCCATGGGTTTTATCATACTTTTTCATAGGGAAAATCTACCAAGCCCTTAGAATGCCATAAAATTGATTGAATATAAACCATATCATAGATTTTTTAAAAATTTTAATATCCAAATAATAGATTCCTAGAAAGATAGAATTATTGCATAGAAATGCCATTGTGGGACAATAGTAGGGTTTTTTTAATCTTCTTCTTCTTCTTCTTAATTGCCATTAATTTTTTATTCCATATTTAACCTTTCTTACATTTTGGTTTTGGGAGATTTGGATAAGAGTTAGATACATAATATATCAATTGAAAGCTTTGCCTTTAATCTTCTAATCGGGGGAATGAAGTCGCCCAATTTTTAAGCAAAAAAAAAAGGATATTTTACATGACATATAAGAAATGGGTTAGTTTTTCTTGGCACGCACGCGCACACACATACATATATATATATATATATATATATATATATATATATATATATATATATATATATGAAAGATAAATGAAAGATTAACGGATTTAAGAAATTACACAAGTCATTCCTTTCCGCAAGGGGAGCCAAGTGAAAATATGAAACGTGATGGTAGCTAACTGCAATTGTTATAAATTCCATAGGAGGTTTTACAATTTATGATAGTGTGCTCAATACTTATCCGTTTCGTCTCTTCCTTCTACATTTACCCCGAACAAAATGGAACCACAGTTATTTTCTTTTCTTCTCCTTCCTTTTCGGCTTGATAGTATCTAATCCTCCTGTATATTTTCCTTCAATTTCAACCACAAGTATACTTTTTGGCATTTCCAAGCAACATTAAAACGTGGTAATAGTGTTAATTGTTCCATTTGAAAGTTGAAATAACATAAGATTGAGCCATTTGCAAGCAATTAGGTAACCTCCAAAATAAAAAATTCCTCGAGGTACGCGTCTATTCTCTCATGTCTTTTATTTTTTTCATTTTCAGCGTAAAATAGGCTCTAAACCTTCCATTATGTTTTGATCAAATGAGATATATTCATGGGTGTGTTTTTATCACCTTTCCACCCCCAAATGCTTGTTCTTTGAACTACGTTCGATATTATTATTATTATTATTATTATATAATGCTTGTTTTTCTTTTCTTTACTTTTTTGGTTATTTTTTTGTAATTGTGACTCTTTGAGATTGCCCTTGTTACGTTTTTATTTTTATTTTTATGTCGAAATACCGTTTTTGTTAGTTTTTTTGAATTTATGCACCAGAAAATGCTTTCGATGTGCATTTTTTTTCATTTACTCTATGTGAAACCAGTTGCATAAACGCTCAATCGTAGTCAATAGCATTGAATTTTCTGGTGAATAGCCCTTCTTTGGTTATCAAAGCCTAGAGTCGGTGGTGCAATAAGTTTGAAATATGGTCATCTACCCAAAATATTTTTTTTTCTTAAAATATATGCTACTTTCTTTTAAATGTGATTTAAATTTGAAATTTAGCCACATAAAGAAAGGTTGAAATGACAGAAACTAGAAAATAAACAAAAACATATATAAACTTTCAACAGCCAGAGTAGATCTTCGTTAGGCTGGTGGCCACCACCTAGCTTGGTGGGATGGGAAGCAAGGGAAAATGCCACATTTAAGTGATTTGCTTCAAAAAAAAATTCAGGTGGGTGTGTTGTGCACCCGTTTGGTCCGGTGGTGGTTCAGTCCCCTCCGGATTATCCTTGGACCTCCTTAGGTCCGCCTCCCTCCCGCTTAGTGTAGAATAGATTTGGTTATACAACTGTTGTCGTGTCAGAAAAAAAAAAAAAAGAGTGGATTTTCGTTCATATATAATATTAATCAACTGCTATTATAATAACCGTATCATAGGCCTAATAGATATAAGAAACAATAGTGGATTTTCGGGGTACATCAAAGGACTCAGATCCATATGATCAATTTGGAGGCCCATAAACCAAAGTTCGGTCCAACCCAAAGTAAATGGCAAAGTCCTTGGCCTGATCTTGGTCCTTTAAAAAATCTTATCCCATTTGACAAGTCAAGGTACATATATATATATATATGTTTTTTATATTTATGGAGCATGTCCATCACGTAGCCTACTAATTCAATGGTAAAATGAGGCGTAGTCCTCCATGCACCTAATATAAAGCAAATGAAAACAGCAACTATCTCCTCCTTTGGTTTGATTTTTGGTGGAAAATTTCAAGTTCTTTTTCTCTTTTTCTAGAAACACATCAAATTGGACATGTTTTTCCAACCAAAATGTAGCAAAATATAGAGTCAAAGACCAATATTCTACAAGTTTAAAATATATATGCACGACTTAGTTGTCATATTTTAATTAATTATCAAAAGCAATTAGCTTGTTGATGGGGCATCGAAACTCAACCCTAAAGAACTGTTAGGCCGAAGGTCTCACCCCAAGTTTTCATGACGTTGGGACAAATAAATGAAGTTGCACAACATATATGCATTGTAAAACATGAAAATTTTTTTGGTAAATCTGATTTTGTAGAGGAGGTTTTTTAAGCAATTATTATTTGTACCTTGCAGAAAAGTATTTACAATTTAGGGTTTTTCTAATAAATTATATATACATACTAATAATTATTACTGTCCCTTACATTTATATACTCTTCCTATTTAATATTACCTACCATTTCTTGTATTCATTTATATTATTAATTAATTTTATATTTATAAAAATACGACATTTAAAATATATTTTAACTTGGTATCCGATTGATTGATAGACCCTTGCATTTAAATCTAGTATGTATACAAGACCAGGCATACATAAATAGCTAAAGAAACAGTTGGGGAGCCAATTCCAACTGTCATTTCCAGAAGTTAATTTAAGTCCTCAGGCTGTAATTGTGGCATGAAAAGGGGCACCGTTTTCAGTAGGATAGAAAAACAGGAAAGTGGGCACCATTTTCTATGATCTAGTTTAATGCCACTGCCCCAGAGCATACGACTTTCCAAGGCTCGAGGTTTCAATGTTTTATTGCCTAGTTGCTTCTTGGTTCGGTGAGATGGGAATCGGACATTCTAATAATTATAGATTCTAGAATAGATTAGACTTGAACGCAAAACAGCGGCGTTCATATCGAAAATGATATAAAAACAATTGTAACTTGTGGGCTTTCTTGGACTACCATTTAGAGCTGCAAGTGAGTCGAATCGCTCGGGAATAATTAAAGTCCGAACCTGACTTAAGTTCGATCATCATCGAGTTTGAATTGATCAAATCGAACTCGAGTTTAAACTCGAATTCAAAGATATTTAAGTTGTTAGTTCACGAGTTAACTCGAACTAATCAAACTAATCGAGTCGAGTTTCATAAAATTAAGGTAAAATTCGACTCGATTAGTTCAAAATTCAACTCAACTCGACTCGTTTGCATCTCTATTCCCGTTAACCTGTTTTCTTTTTCCGTACAACTATTGATTGGCAGTAGTGGTGGGTAGCTGTACCTATGTATGAATAGAGTAATGTGCACGAGATTCTCTTTGAATTTGGCGGCTTGCATTTGCACGTTGGTTCATCGCCGAGTCCCTTGGTTTGCCGTTTATCACTCCGAAAATGCATATATGGATACTTTAGCATGTGCTATTGTGCTTGGATGCAGTTTACAATTAGGCTTTACTACGATTGAATTATTTAGACAGGAGTATTTAGATTTTTAACTCAGAATTAGGCATGAGATTCTGGGTAGTTCATTTTAGGTGATAAAAGGATTTTTTTTTTTTATGGGCACATCTTATTACACTAACTTAAATTCATAATAATTGCACTTCTTGCAGTATGCCTTTTTTTTTTTTTTTTTTTAAAATTAACCTTATGTACTTTTGTTAAAAAATTAACACCTAAAGTCTCGTTTAGAGCAATGTTTTATTTAAGTATCAAAAAGAGACTAGTGCCTTTTAGGTATTGGTTAAAAAAAAAAATCCAAAAGTAATCAACTATATATGAGAGGAGTAGTATATACTTATTTAGGGAAGTATACAATTTTTTTATACTAAGAAAAGAAAAGGAGTAGATGGCTATATAAAACTTCTACCTTCAGGTATTTTAGGTACAAAATACATGTATTTCTTTTCTCATAATTTTAGCTCATAGTATTTTCCTCCTCAATTTTTTACTACATCTTAGGGTGAAGTTCAGCTTCTTTTCCTCCAAATTCCACCTATAAAAAATTCATTGTCTCCTGAATTGTAATTATAGAAAAACAAAAAGCAAACGATTTGATCTTTGGAATTTGTTGTTTTTTATGCCCTATCCTTATTTTTTTTCTTTGAAAAAAAAAAAAGGACCTTCAATTAAAAGCTTACGGAATGTAAATTTCCGGCCAGCCAGCTGTAGCAGCTGAAACCGTGTCAAATTAAAAGTCGGCGGCCTTTTCATTGACCAAGCCTTATACTTCGATGAAGTCGAGATGGCTGGCTTCGGCCCACCTGTTTTTGTCCAGGGCTCATATAAATTTTTTTTAAAAAAAAAAAAGTTTTTGTTCAATTTTTTCGCCTTTTCCTTTTGTCTTAAGAAAAAGGGTTCACATTGACTCGATTCCTTTGAAACTTTTTTTTTTTTTTCAGATTTTATCAGTCAAAATCTATGCACAAATTAAATAATGATGATGATGGATTAGAAAATACATAATCTAAGCATGCTTGGAATTAAGTAAAATGTTCAATTTATGGCATATATAAAATGCAGATATTGTGGAATATAAATAAGAGGAATTTGCATTGATCTCTTTATTTAGAGTTTCTTGTGCTTTTGGGAATTGATTTAAAGTATTGAAATTACATTGCCTTTCTCTATCAAGCTTTTGTCAGTTATTTTGACTAGAACTTAAAATAATGAAATATGGTGAAAACAATATAATATGGCCATGGCTCAAGGGAAACAACAGTAGAAAGGACAAATCTTTCCCATAACCACAATACTTAGTCAAATTTAGAGATCTAATCAAGAAATCCTTTCATCTAACTTTTTCGATCAATCCAACCCTTCCCCATTTCCATCTTTTTTTTTTTTTTTTAAATTCTTTCCATTCCAATCTGATACAACCATGCAATTATCATTATCGGTAATCTGCTTGGTTGCATCTAAACAAGAAAGTTGGATTAGTTTAAACCAAGTTTGTTTAACTTATAGCACTACAAACAAACATGACAAAAAGATTTTGCTAAGCTCCATGAAAATTTGTCCACTTCTGCTTAATTGGTTCTTGACTTCCCGTAGCATGATTTTGTTTTCCAAGAAAATGACACAGCAAATAATAAATATTTACTTCCTATAATCTTCTAGACAAGATTACGGTTGGATACCACGTAAGGATGATTTAACAAAATCTCACGGAAGCAACTGATGATGAGTCTTGAAGGTTGAGATTATTCAACACAATCCAGAAACTATAAGAACTGCCTAACGAAGAAATATAAGAAATTAGCATTAATTGATGATGTGATATGATACCCCACAGTTGATAATAACAAGAAATTTGGTCCGTTCTAACTTGTTCGCCATGTAAACTCCGAAGATTGATTTACCTGAGGATCACAACCTCTTTCTCGAACTGTTGCTGGGCTCCATTAGAAGGAATTCAGGAGGTTTGGTGATCTAAATGGATCAAGGGACTTTACATTGTAAGGACAATAGTATGAGATAATTTTTTATTCACACGAGGTTTCTTTGAAATTAGAGTTGGTTCAATTAAGTTCGGTAGACATTCATTTTCATAAACATATAGAGAAATTAGTTCTTTTACATGTTAACATAGATTTTTTTTGTTGGTATATGCATCTATTATTCTAATCTGTGCATCGTGTAATTTAGTTGTTAATGACAAACACAGTGACATTTTATCGGTTGAAAATTAGATTCTACGTCACCCGATTGAAAATTAGATTCTACGTCATCTAAAAACATGGATAATATAATCAAGCAAATCTAGATTTTTCTTCCATCTTTTTTAAAATTGACATGACATAGATATTCTTTTACTAATAATTTTCCAAGTGTACACGGTCTTTTGGTTGTCTTCCGTCCTTGAGTCCCTATCAACTCACCAACAAGTTGCTTCCCTTCCCTCAAATCTCTTTGTTGACCCTGCACGTCTATATTATATAAACCCTTTAACTCACCTTGCATGTAACTTCACAGTTCAATGATACTACCTATGATTATTGTACATTTTGACCAACTACTTACTTGTGCAGATTAATTAGGATGTCAAAATCTCAACTTCCCCTCCTATTCCTCTACCTTCTTTCATCTGCCCACCTCTTCCATCCTTCTTCAGCTGATGTTGGCACTGCAAGCCAATACAACCCTCCATACACCCGTAAGTACAAGCTACTAATCCTAATCAATTCCACAATTTTTCTACTCCTAACAATTCATTGGGATTAACAACATTGACAATATTAGAAGATGGTAACATTTTTGGGTTGTGAATTTTGTCTACAGCCACAGCTTGTTTTGGGAGTGATAACTCTCAATTCCCATCAAGCAATTTGTTTGCAGCAGCAGGGGAAGGGGTTTGGGACAACGGTGCGGCCTGCGGGCGGCAGTACTTGGTGAGGTGCATTAGTGCGGTAGCGCCCAAGACTTGTGTTCCCGACAAAACTATTCAGGTCAGGATTGTTGATAGAGCACAAACTTCAGCTTCTAGGCCTGCAAAAGCGGGCACCACCATCGTTCTTTCCAACACAGCTTTTGGTACTATTGCCAATCCGGGAGCTGCTTTCATCAACATAGAATTTCAACAGTGAGTATCCAGCTGCACAATAATGATTGAAATGTTTCATTTTCATTTGTGTTTTCTATTTTTTTTTTTTATGTGCCGAATGCAAACTTCAGATAATGGTCGTTTGGTTTTCCATGGCCAAGTCAAGATTTTTACCCTTTTAGGAGTTCAAGAAATGAGAATATATATTATTGGAAAGTTGAATTTAGTGAGGGCATAATTGAAGATTCTATTCTTTGTATGGGAAATTTAGATAATTGCAAGACATTGGGGTTAGCTATCCGTCCTATGCACGCTTGCACATGCATCTGCCTGTTCTTAGTTAATATGGCAAATGAAATAGGACAAAACAAAGAATTTTCTTACACTATTCGTAAAAATAAAAAATATATATATATTTATTTTTTTTTTAGCTAACAGACGCAAATGCATAATTAACCTCTTTGTTACTATAAAATTTTACCTAAATATGTGACATGCATTTACACTCGATTGTATAAAAAAAAAAAATGTTTACACTGCCATGCTAATCCCTTATGTTTTTCTATCAGTTTAGTAAACTGAAATGAAGAGCATGATATTATTGACCTATTAACTCTTCTAGATGATTGTGTCTTGCACTTTTCACTCACTTGTCATTCATAGTTACAGCCGATCATGCATAGAGGAAGTGATTAATTGGTGATCTATATCCTGAGATGCATAGTTTATACAACTTGTAGTATATACAATACAACTTGTAAGTTATTAATTAGTAATTACTACTTATTTATATATGGTGCATATATATCTCATCATCATCCACACCGTTGTTATCTTCAACTTTATGTTAATAAAGCATATATAATATCTTCTTGTGATTAAAAACCAAAGAACTTTATATAAAATCGCCTTTTTCTTTTAAAATTAAATTTGGATGTGAACTTTATTGCAATATTGTATTTCAGTGGATTAGAAAATTATCTGTGCGTGTGTAATATATTAAAGAAGACTATGAAAATGAGCAATATGAGAAATATTAGAGAAATTCTGTATTCACTGAAAATGGTAGATACGAAAAAAAAAAGTATGGTTAGATACTGACAGAAGTCTCTTTCTTCGCCTGCAGGGTATAAATAGGATTGGGGACTCATTCAACAGGGGACACTGATATGTTGCAAGTTTATTACTTTTCGTCCCCATAGTTGTGATATATTAAGGGGACTAGTTATATTATATGTATTTTGCAGACTCGTTATTGGCAAGGGGTATCTTCCATGGCATTTATCCTCTGAGCTCTGAATCATACAAAGCATTAAAAGCAATGAAATTAGATAAACAGTTGTGTGATGTCATTATTAAATTCTAGAAAGAAAATGATTTTGGAAGTACTAATTCCAGGAAAGTTCAGAAGTGGACCACAGGAATGGCTTATTAGGTGGGAGATTCATTAAAACTTTTATTGTACCATTTCAAGTAAACTAGCTGACTTTGGAGTCATATGAAAGAAGTCTAGAGATTTGTCGGGCTACACGTTTTGGCTTAGTTTACAATTGACTGCACGGCATAGAGGAAAAGGATTTGAAGCTTCAGAACATTTGACGCTTGGAGGTGGCCTCTTCACCTCGTTCTTGTCATATAAGAGTTGTGTAGATCATTGACGTTAAATAAAAAAAAAAAGTTTTAAAACTAACTTTTTTTTTCTTTGTCCGACGGAGGGGGTATTCAGATCATCGGGTAAACCGGACCCAACTAATTCCCCACCAGTTTGGGAGGAGAAGTCTCATCCCCGAACACGATAATCATGGGACTCGAATCCTGACGGACACTGAAAAACAGCTCCTTAGGAGGCGTGCTGTGACCAATCGAGCTGCCCATGAAGGGCTAACTTTTTATTAATCAATTGGTAGTTAAGGTCAATGTCACACGAAAAAATACAAATGCCTACATGGTGTACAAGATTCCATGCCAAGCATGAAACATATTTATGGGGATTGGGATGAATATTTCACTTGTTCCGTGAATTGGCATTGACCTCGTAGATATCAAACGGAGTCGCCCAAAGTTTTTTTTTTAAGAAATATCATTATTGCTTTATTCCACAATGTTTCGTGGAGAATAGGGATGGATCAAACGAAGTCAAACGCGTTTATGGGGAGTGGGACATGACACATCATTTTATTGAGACTGTTCTCATCCAAATTCAATCAAATCTGAAGGATTTCCATTTGTGATGACTCTGCACATTATTATTCCTTTGTTGCTTTGTGGAGCATGATGTTTTGAAATTGGGATAATTTTAGAAACCTCCCTTGAACTTTCTAACAGTTTCATTTAGCACTTTTGAAGTTTTAAAAATATTACTTGCCTCCCTATTTTCAAGTTTTTGTAACATTCTCAACCCAATTCAAATTATAAGATTAAATACTCATTTTGGGAAAGAGAAATAATTTCGTTCTAATAATGCCCTTTTGTTGCCTTACTTTTTGTTTTTTTAATTGTAAGTATGATAATCAAATATTAAAAATATGGACAAAAAACATGAAGATGTATTTTTTTTAAGGGGACAAAATATGGTAAATGCAACCATAAGTAATGTGCTTTTTTAAAGTACAAACAAATAATAAAAGTTTATTTAATATGTTTTCAAATTAAAAAGGAATTTTTTTTCCTTTGGGGATTCTCTATTTGGTACTCTAAGGTCATATAATCAGAAATAAATCTGATATTATTATTATTATTCTTTTTGGCAAATGCTCATATTTCTTCCATAAAAGTGTTGCAATTCAATGGTTTAGCTATGATTTTAAAACTTCAATATTGGGCCCACCTTTATTTATACATATTTTTATTGTGTGCTTATAGATTACCGAATGAGAAAACTATTTTTTTTAATGTACAATGTTGTGAGTGAAATTAATAAATTCTATAAACTATTTAGAATCTTAAAATTTTTATATTTCCAGATCAATGGCTTAAAAATTTAGAAAAGGAAAAAATATTTAAAATTATATTTAAAACTTATTTGAGATGTTTAAAAGGTTGAAAAAAAGTTAATTTCTTTGTCTTTATAATGTTTCAAATAGTTTTTACATGCTTTGTCAATTATTTATAATTTTTCAATTTTAGATTTTGTCTCCAAATTGTAGATAAGATTTGTTAAAGGATCTCTTAACCCAAACTTATAGTTTTTTTATTAAAGAGTACATCCATCAAGCTTTTAAATGTTAAAGAATTTTAAATTGATTTATCATTACAAGTAAGGGACCACGACAAAAGAACAACTTTGGAATGGAATAATTTTCTCTTTGCTAAACATAGTATTTGAATCATATAATTAGAATTGGGTTGAGAATGTTACAAAAATTTAAAAATAAGAAAGGTATTGATATTTTTTAAATTTGAAGGTGCTAAGTGATATTATCATAAAGCTAAGGGGGGTTTTTGAAACTATCCCTTTGAAATTATAGCTATAAAAGTGGAACCTCATTTTTCAATTGATTATGAAATTTGTCGTGTTGGAACATTAAAATGCACAAAATAATTGCGGCCTTGGTTGTAGAAGAAGCAAATGTCAGCTCAAATTGTTAATAAAAAACAGTACGATTGTGCGTGCATGCGTGCTTAGTTTCCATCTCGTTGTTCTATGCCTTTTTTCAAATTTTTTTTTAACAGTCTGGGGGTGTATCTTGAAATCATCCAAACTAATCTCCCCCAAGTTAGCCAGAGCTCACCCCAAAGATGTCCAGTAACGTTAGCAAGTAGGTGTCGAACTTGAGATTTTATTGTAAAAACAGACGATCGGAACCGGCCGAACTACCCACTGAGGGTCTATGCCTTTTTTCAGTTGATTATGAAATTTGTCGTGTTGGAACATTAAAATGCACAAAATAATTGCGGCCTTTGTTGTAGAAGAAGCAAATGTCAGCTCAAATTATTAATAAAAAACAGTACGATTGTGCGTGCATGTGTGCGTAGTTTCCATCTCGTTGTTCTATGCCATTTTTAATGACGATTAGGTGGGAATGACACAAAAATCAATTGGTGGAATTTTTAGTTGGTCAAAATTGCAAACCATTCTTAAGAAAAAAAAAAGGCTGCTTTCAAAGCAAACAAAAAGAATTAGATGTAGTACTTTTTACCTTACGGCAAGGTGAAAATCAAATCTCAAACAGTTCGACTTAAATTTTCTTCAATGTAACCTGAAAGCAAAAAAATAATTACAAGATATAGAATATGCTTTGACCTGAATAGATTCACTTTCCTTAAACAAATTTCCCCCCACTATTTTACTGTCGAGTTTGTGGCAATTCCCTCCAAGAATAATAAAGTCAAACTTAAAATTTCCTTACAATAATATAAAGAATCTCTCAAGAACGATTTCATAATTTTGTTTTGATTAGAAGAAGAAGAATGAAAGAAAATGGTAAAACTTAAAAAGTGAATAAATGATGTCTTCACCTTTTATTTATAATAGTTTAGACACCCCTTATAAAGATGTTTCACTTTAGATTCATACATTTTCATATTTACATACATCTTCATGAACAGACATCTCTTAATGAATAGGTAATTCTTTGTCAATAGAAACCTTTTAATTAATAGACACTTTTTGAATAATGAGCACCCCTTTAATCAATAAATATCATTTGCTAATGGTGCATTTTAATATGAATTAATATTTTATACACTAATAGTACAGTGATTTTTTTGCACAATAGTTTTAGACGTATGTCACATGTGCATGGTTTGAATTTCAAATTTGAATTCATGTCATGTTGCATGATTTAAATATTCTTGTGTAAAAAAATTTTACACCGACAATATATAAAAAAGTTATTCATTTAGTGTTCGTTTGGCTTATGGGATGATAGAGGATTGGGTTAATCAATTTATGTCATTCCATGTTTGATTGCATTTTACATGTGGAATGACACATCCCAACTGACAGAATTAATCTCTATTCATAGGATAACATAATTCTATGGGAGAGTTAGTATAAGTCATCCTGGGATGATTATGAGTTATGATGATAAAATTTTAGACTAATTTATTCTTATAAGTAATATAAATTTATACCCTCATAATTATACAACCTTACCCTCACACTATAATATAACATGAATGGACTAAGTTGCCCCTACTAATTAATTTAACATTTTTGTCTAATTTGCCCTCACTACCAACATTACAATATTTGGACTAGTTTACCCTTGCGAGTAATACAAATTCATATTGAATATTAGGGTTATTATTACTTTACCCCCTTAAACTATATCACTACTATCAGTTTACGTCCTAACGTTATCTTTTAATCACTTTATCCCCATAAGTAATTCAACTCAACATGTTAAGAAATTTTGGACAAAAATACCCTTTTATTTTATAGCATTATTACATTGTTATTATCAATTTATTCGTTTAGATTATAGCGATACAATCACTTTAGTTCCTAATATTATTTTTTAGGCATTTTACCTCATCGTTAATCTAACTAGTATTGCCAAAAATTTTTAAATATATTTACCTTTTTTATATAATTAAAAATAAAAAAGTTGGAATGGTTATTCTTCTTTTTTTCACTTTAAGACATTGAAAAACATAAAAATAAAAGGGTTTTCTCAAATTTCCTTTTTTCACACTTATTAATACTAGGAAAAGAAAAAAGATAGAAAAGAAGAAGAAAGAAAATTAGCTTTTGCAAATAAAGAAAATAAAGAAAAGTCTAACATTATCGTATTACATTAAGGTTGTCAGGATTAGGTTTGGAATTTGGTAGTAAACAGAAAAGTGAAATAATTTTAAAATAATAAAAGTATTTAATTCTTTCTTATTTGTAGTTTTTAAACAAAGAATTGAGCTCTCTCCCTCTCCCCCTCCTCCTTTCCATCTTTCTATTCTTTTTTGATATTAATAAGATTGCCAAGAATAAAGAAATTAATACTTTCACTTTTTTTCTTAATATTAAAAAGAAGAAGAGCCACTCTACAATTTTTTATTATTTTTATTATGCAAAGAAAAGGGTATTTTTTTCTAAAATTTTTTAACTTACTAAGTTAGTTTAATAGTAGGATAAATTGTCTAAAAAATGAGTCGAGGGGGTAAATTGATAATGAGACTATAGTTTATGATGGTAAAGTGATAATAATTTTAAGAGTTAAACATGTCTTTTTACTTTAATTAACAAAGGGTTAATCACATTCTATCCCCTTAAAGAATACCCCATTTCTCAGTTTACCCCCTAACTTTTAATTTTGCTCACTTAACCCCCTTTAGGACAAAATTGCCCTTGCATTATTTTGATTTTCCATTTACCTTGTTTTCCTTTTTTTTTTATTTCTTTTTCTCTTTCTTCTTTATTTAATTCTTCCTCTTTCCCACAAAAATTTTCACCTTAATGATTGAAATTTAAAAAAAAAAGGAATTGTAGAGATCTATCTTCTCCTTAAATGATTAAAAAAAATATTCAAATCACTTTCCTAAAATACAAATTTTTTAGCCTTTCAATTATTTTAATTTTGGGTTTTCCTC